AATCGCGTCGTCTGCTTTCTGGATCTGAAAACACCTAGTTTTGACCACTAATGAATGAGTTCACGGTGATCACAGTGTAGAAAAGCTTCGTGTGTCCGACGTTTAGAGCATGGCAGTCATTATGGGCTACTTTTCGGTAGGCAAAGCTTTCAGTTAAACCAAAGGCTGGGCCTTTGGATGGGTGCAGAAGTGCCTATGCAAATGACAATTCTAGTGAATGCAAGATGCTGTGCCGTGACCACGGCATTGTGGCACATCACGACCCACGGCACGGCTCGACACATTTCTAAAAGTGTGTTACCACAGAATGCATGTCAGCCGGCACGATGATCAGTGCAAAGAGGTCCGTTAGCGACTTGAGCAGGCTGACGAGTGCACGAAAAACAGGCTCGACGCCGGTGAACTGCCTCTGAAACGTCCACATGGATGAGACCAGTCGCGGGATCAAGAGCAGCGTTCGCACCAATAAATGCCACTAAATCTCATGCTAACAAAGAGAAGTCAGAAATCGACGAAGCATGCCTTAAAGCACCGGTCGAGAAGGATGAGCGTTTTAATAGACGCCAGCTGACGCTCGAGCATTTGCTCGAGTCTATCAGCGAGTGTGCCGGTGTCACCATTTGGAGAGCGCTCAGCGTCTAGACTGATGCTCCGAATGCGTTTCAGCTGCCGGGTATGTTCCTGTAAGAGGTCCCGTACAGCGTACGTAATGACTAGCTGTAGAGCCAGCGCAATATTTCCAGCCGTTGTCTGGTACAACGTGAGGAGCATCCAGCACCAGTAGCCGTACGTCAAGCCGAACGGCTGAATAAAATTAATCCTAGTCCGGGAACGCTGCATGCATTACTTACGTCATCGTAGAGGTAAAGTTGTTTCCGATACCCCAGAGCAAACTCGACAACCGTAAGGAGCTCTTTTAGCACGTAAGCTGCCGAAAGCAAGCAAACAACAACACATATGTATGCATCCCTTCTATTCTGCCTCTCCGATAGCATATTTCCATACGTGTTATTGGCCGTGTACAGCTGCTCTAGTAGAGCACTGAGGCTGCCGCTTAGTTGCCAGTACACAAGGAACATCTAGAAAAAGATCCGATCCTCTTGCCCTCGCACACGTCGTCTGTTCGCAGGTGTACGCCGGTTCCCGGACGATATGGTGTCGGAACTTGGGAACTTTTCTCCAGAACTCAATGCCAAAAACATCCCAAACATTCGAAAATACAGTGACAACAGAAAAAGAAAGCTTGCGCAAGAGTGTAGCAACGCAACAGGAGAAACACGGCAAAAGAACTAAAGCACATAGCACACGTTTTCGTTAATGTTTTCTTCGTATGTTTTTTCTGTAGACAGCATAAGTGGTTTAAGGTTACCAAGGAGTAAACTGTGTAACGTGAATTTTGTTCCCCCCCCCCCGAAACTTGGGCATGTTATGACGCAGCCTTACTTACCATCGATACTGCTGTGCGAGCTGCACCAAGAGTATAAATGAATAGTGTCCACGCAAAATGCTCGCCGTTGTCGAAAAGTCGGTGAAGAAGTTCGTACAGGGCGTAGAGAGTAACTAAAACTGCTGAACGGCGTTGTTGTATTTAAAAATGTTTAACTGGCTTAAAAGTTGCAAGACAAATCTTTGAAACATACCAATGCTAAGCAGCGTGGCAGCCTTGATAATGCGTAAAGTTTTTGTTGTTCTCGACTGCCGTGCAGCGGTAACATTCAGGCCGGTCAGCGTAACCAGGGCAGTGATGAATTTGAATCTCATTTCTGCTAAAGGTCAATGTCGTCTTAGACGATATGATTTCTCGATTTCAATAGTGTCTGTGGCAAGGAGACCATCAGCATGCGATTGGTACACTTCAGAGACTCAAGTTTATTTGCGCACGCTTGTCTGATGGCAGCTTGGACAGTAGAAATGTTCAAGCAGCACATATTCTTTTTTATGACATTGTCACGTTAGCTGAATCCGTATCGGAAAAGGGCGTACGGCGAACCTCGTTGAATATCGTAATGAACGAGACGGTGGCCGACAAAAGCTAAATTACGTAACCGTGTAGAGAAGTGTAGTCCGTGTATGATGTAGATCTTTTTTGGTCTTTTGACGTAAACACTTCAAGAATGCAAGCCTGCTGAAGTCGTCATTTTGAGGATGATTTAAAACGCAGTCCCCAAAAATAAGAATGTTTGCTACCGTAAATAGCAGCGTCCGAGTAATAACTGTGAAGCCGCCGAGCGATATACCAACTCCACGGTGGACGCTGTCCAGCAGTATGCGAACGGCGACATTGGTTTCCTTATGGTAGGGCAGCCATAAAAGCTTGTTGCACCACGCTGATGCATGAACTTCCTGAACCTAAAACGCGGCTCAGGGGCATAACGAAAATGCGAATTCATTATTTTTTCGAATTTCGATTTCGCAAATTCTGCTTAGAAGTTCGAAATTATTAAGCATTTAATTAAGTGACCGCCATAGGAGCTTACAGATATTTTCACTGAACTTGTCAAATTGTTGACTAAATTTTCGATTGCGCCGCCTGCGGCGGGCCATCTCCGAGCTTTTCGTACCTTATTATCCCTACTTTTGTTCAGTCAAAATACGCGGCCCTAAATTTAGAACGGGTTCTCGCACTTCTGCTCGTTTTCTAGTTCCGATGATGTTTCGTAATTAGAATTCGGACTTTTGAACTCGTTTTAACACACATGTGCCTATCCATTTTCTACCGTGGCACGTAAGTTCGCCGGGATGAGGATCAAACCGACAACGACGGCAACGCTTTTCACTACGCTATGTACTGCACCGAGTGCGTCCTCGCTGCTGCGTGCGCCTTCCTGCACATACCACAAGGAATCGACAATCCGCGGAATCAACAGTAACACTTGCAGGAATATGTAGTTCTAAGGTGAATCTCATGTTAGGGCCTTTAAGAGGTCAACTTCCAACCTGGAATATCTTACTGAAGACGGCAAGTGTCTCCAGCAAGCCGAAATGTGCCTTCATTGCTTCTTCGAACTCGTCCGACATAGCGTAATCACAATTCGGGCTCTCTGCCCGTCGACCCATTCGTCCAAGTAGCGCATTGCTGTGTTCAAAGCGTCGGTTCAGTGATAAAATAATTAGCACTAGCAACGCAAGTACGACGTCAGCCACGAAGGCAACGTAAGTCATCAGCTCGGTACCAGGAATTCGGCCGTAATGCGTGCCAAACGGCTAAAGACAAGGGCGTATGGGGTCTGCCCACCTAAGCTCGCCTGACCGAAGGTCGTGTGAGCTAAGAAGGGACGCAGTGAAATTGTTCAACTTTCCAAATTCAAGTTTGACAAGTATTGGCCATATTTTCAACTAGTCTCTCTTAAATAAGCGGAAAATTGATATGGCAGTATTTTAGGTTCGCGTTCAGGCCCCACTCGCTAAGTTCATGCCTGCAGCGCAACATTGCCGTCCGTAGCCAGGTCAGACAGCAACTTACGTCCTCGTACAAGCCTCTTTGGTTCCTGACAGTGTCGTCATGAAGCGAGGCATTAATCGCAGCGCAGTCCAACGCTACCTGGCACGCTGTGATCAGCACAACGAATGTAGCGATACATGCGTCCAAGATTTTCAGTCGCCACCTGTCCGCAAGCGGACAACGACGTAAATGTCGGCTGACTAATGTGAGACGTCCACTCAGCTGCCAGTAAATTAGGTACATCGAGAACATTTAGAGCGTTAGAGACGTCAGCGGGCCAGTGAGTATAGCAAGGCTGATCCTGCAGCATGTCCTACTCGAGCGGCTTACCATTGACAAAAGCCCGCGGCAGTCGCTAAGCCACTTCACAAGGCGACCGTTTTCACCGAATAATACGGAGAAAATGCCATAGAATATGAACAGTCCGACTGCAATACGCTCCAATGGCAGGTGAAAGTCCGCTTCCTGCCCGAATTTTTCACCTTGCTGCAAAAATGCTAAGCAAAATCCCTCACCTATTGATGTAAAAGCAAGAGCCCTAGCAATGCGAAGACGTCGCAGGACAACGTGATCGGCGGGATTTCCGATGTGGAGGCCAGTACAGCTTACGAGGAATTCCACACATTTGAAGTCGTCCATACTATGACCGCAAGTCAGCCCCGAATTTTTATTCAACTTTTTCGCACGGCTTTACACCAAGTTTGACATTTTCCTATAAACAAGAGTCGCAAAGTGGAGAAATGCAACGGATTTTCTACAGCAAAATTTTGGATTAAAGTAAAAAGGAATATTTTCACAGTAAACTCGCAAACAACTCCGTATTTTTGTAGTAATTTGCAGCTATATCCTTTTGCAATCTAGCAATGCAGGCGCGTGCGAATGTCTTTGAGAAGACGACAATGATCTCGTTGAGCTCAATTCACGGAAGTGTGAGTGTTTGCTCTCAGACGCCTTCCGTTACCTCGTCGCGGCCATTTGTAACGGGCATGCAAGCTACTTCCGTAATTTCAAACCGCCGCCATGTGTTTCCGATTGCCGGCCTATGCATTACGTACGAAATTAACGTGGATCGCAAAATGTTCTTCTCGTTCCCACTCTTCGTGCCATTACTACGACTACGGTACGTCGTAGCGCTCGATCATCGTTGCCGGTGGAATAAAAAACGAAAAGTACAGCAATGGTGGACGATTATAAGATAGCATAAATGAATAATGATGATGAAGATGTCTGCAGAGAGTGGTCGGCCTATTTCTACGGGCCTCTGCCGATGACATCCTTGCCGTTGTATGTTCGAAATAAAATCATAAATAAAAGGTTCAAGGAATCTTGGGCGTCGCTTCCCCTAAGTACTTGGATCCGAGCAAATCCGCCGTCGCGGGGGTGGCTAGGCCACACTGCCTTGGCGAGAGGCAGTACACAGCGGCACCTGCAGGCTCTCGGAGTGGGGGTTGCTTAAGCCCTGGACCCCAGCCATGCAGACACCTTTGTACCTTCGTGAAAGCAATACTCGGGTTTTCCCTGACCCGCGGAGGGATGGGGAGGACGAGTGCTCCTCGGTCGGTGCGAGCGGGAATCGAACCACTGACCTCTAGCGCGGCAGTCTTAGCGCCTTGCCACTACACCACGTGACCGTTCCGGCAGGTACGCAAGCTAAACGCTAGAAAGTTCGTTGGAACGCTAAAAACAACGAAAAATGGTGCGGCTTTTCTAGGAGTTGCCTGCGCAGACCACTCCGCAAGCGTTCTGTGCATGAAACAGGGAACTTTTGCAAGTCTATAAGCTATCCTTACATGCCGAGGGTATTTCTGAATGGAGGTACCGTCAGAATACCTCTGGCTGGGATGGCTATGGGGCATACTGCTCGCGCTTCACCTAACCGTCGTCGGCACATATTCTTGCCCCCACCACACATTGCGCGCCGGGTGCACGAGAAAAATCACAATTTCAAGTCGGTCTTCTTCAAGATGTACCTTCTCCATTCGCTAACGAACTACGGCGTGGCGACAGAGGCAAGCTGCAGTAGAGACGGTCGACCACTCACCCCCTTCCGTTTTCCTCGTCGTTCTGACCCCGCAGTGTCGTTTTCCCGTTCAATTCTAAGCAAAACGTGTTGGTTGCGTAGCAGCAAAAAAAGTAAGGGTAGCGGGCGTGACGTTATCCGTGACGTGACGTGTCAAGTTTGCCAAGAATCTTTTTACATGCAAACTTGAGGTAATGACCTTTACTCCAAAAAGGCCTCAGTCTCATCCTGCGTTACAAGTTCATCTTTGGTCAGTTTTACAGGTCGAATTTTGGTTCTTTTCAGCGGGACGGTACACGATATTCGAGTCTTATCATCTAAAGCATCGCCTCAGTTGAGCGACTTGTCGACTTATGTTGTCTTGGTCGAAAACTGAGGTCCTTCCCGGCCGCTCCCCACTGATTGGGTATAGGTCGACGAATGTACTAAGAAAGCCTAGTTACCAAGAAAACTACTAGCTACATATGTTCTAGGTTAAGGCCCCAGCTAAGTACCCAGCTTGAGTCTTAATGCACTTGTACTGACTACCAACGTATACCTATATGATCTTTTTGAATAAAAGCCTACTTACTTTCTACTTGATTTCATTTCCCTACATCCTTTGTCAAGTGTAAGGTCTAGATTTATGCCGGTTTCTTCGCTCAACATCTTCCTTAGCATGACGTAGGGCAAGAACGATGGCAGTGAAGCGGTTGCAAGCGATAGCCGTATATGAAAACATCTGTAGGAATTGCGCGAAGTAGTACGATAGCAGAACAAGATCAGAGCACAAGACGCCGCCGAATAAGCCGCAGGTGCCAAAGTCAATCACGACCTTCCGAACGTCAGTGCCGTGAACCTACCAGCGCTGAAAACTCTTCCGGGCATTGGGACCAGGATTCACGTCGCTTCGGACGATTTTTTACGAAAATTAAAGTAAAAAGCTGCATAAATTTTCGTCGGTCATTGCCTCGAGCGAGCAATCAATAGTCCAGATGATCGCCGCTTTTCCGGCGCCAAAGGCCGCACACAAACCCTCATGGTTGCCGCCCTATCCTGATCTTAGTGGAAGTTTCTAACAAGCGATGGCGCGCCGTTACGATCCGGTTTCCGCTGTTTTTTTTTATTCAGACGGAACGTAAAAAAAGTGTAGGTAAATGGTTCGTCTCCTTGCCAGTCCGTTCCGGTCCTTTTTTAAGGGTAGGCAAACCACCCCCCGTGACGTGATCCGTTACGTGACACGTCACGGCGCCGTTATCAATCCATGATTTTCTTAAAAAAATCGCTCATTTTTTGCTCTGAAACCGCTAGTTCTTCGTGATTTTGTTGTTTTCTCCTTGGGGAATGCTTCCGAGGTCATACAAATAGTAGCTAAGACAAAAGCGGGCAAAAATTAGGTAAAAACGTTAAGGCTCGGTAAAAAGTTTTGAAAATTTAGCGATTTTCTAAGCAGAAAACGTCATTTTTGTGAAATCACGTAACGGATAACGGCGCCGTTATTGGGGTACCCCCGTGACGTGATCCGTTACGTGAATCACGTCACGGATCACGTCATGGCGTGAACATGATCGAAACCTTTCCTGAATTCCGATACCGAGACGTGCGTGTTGTCCTTGACGGGTCTACAACAGCGGCCAATTTGTGTTGCTCAGCAGAAAGTCGACGTATAGCAGGTGCGAATCGGTCGCAACTCATTTCTTGTTAGTTTTCACAGTGGCAGCTGAAAAGAAAGACGTTCGTCGAACAATGCTCTAAAAAGGGTGTTGTCGTAGGCGTTGTTTGGAGCCGGCTTTTCTGTAGATGCTAGATCATAGATTACGCACTTCTTCACTGTGCACGATGAAAACGTCTACCTCTACTTCTGCTTCTAGCGGGCATTAGTAGAAACTTCTACTTCTACTCAGGGTAGAAGTAGAAGTAGAGGTAGAAGTAGAAGTTCAGCGTAGAAGTCAAAACACTGGTTCTGACAATGATGATATTTGCTTGACTCTTTTGCGGTAAACAAGGCAAATGCGTGAAATGCAAACTGAATACAATGTCAGTTTGGCATGTCGATGAGGAAGTTCTGTTCACAGCGCCGTTGCACGCTCACTCGAAGGTTGTTGACAAGTTCGGCTCGTTGTTTGTCAGCGAAACCGTTAACTCAACCCTGATAGCGAATGCCTGCACGCGAGGCGCATTCTTATCTACTTCCGCAGCAGCAGTTGCTTGGCCTAGTCACATATAAACAAGGACCTTTGTGACCTCTGACTCACAAGCTTCATTTTTCGCAAAACATGCTCAAGCGAATCCTACCAACCGGCTCGTCGGATGGCACAATGGACGCTGTGCGATGCCACGGTCCAGTGGACTACCGCGTCGAGAAGGTATGTCTGGAAATACCGGATTACATCGAAAGATATTAAGGATCGGCATCCAGCATCCGCACTGGTCCCCCCCCCCTATCCGTAATTCGTGTCGTAAGAGTACGGTACGATTACGGCACGGGTCGTAATACGGTGCGGGTCGTACCATGCGCAAAATAGCGTGACAACCGTGCGGAACTGATCCTCTTTCCACCGTACCGTGCAGCGTAGCATACTAAACCCCTGATATCGTTGGTATCGTACCCGTACCGTACTCAGCACGGAAGGGAGCACGGTACGTAATAGAATATTGGAGCCGACCATGTATACAGCTACCGTTAAAATTACTCTTAGCGAGGCCTCCATTCTTACTAATGACCCCTAAAAAACTGAAAATAATATTGCATTTATGCGTACAAATACTTTATTTCGACAATTCAGCCAAAAAAGAGAAGGATGTTTGGCACTCCATAGCTCTTTCTGGTATTTTTCGCTTAATTGGAAACATCAGTGCTCCTGGAAAAAGGGTGAGGCCGAAAATTGAATGAACTTTTTGTTAAGCACCAGTTAGTGTTCCACTTTTGCTGTCAAAACCAAAAAGCATTAAGGTTCCCATACCGAGACCCGGCAAGAACGAGCTGCTAATGCGCGTTGAAGTTGCCGGGATCTGCACCAGCGACTGCAAGTGCTACCAGGGCGCGAAACACTTCTGGGACAAGAACGATGGAAAGCCGATGTTCAACACGCCGGTGATTCCCGGACATGAGTTCTTCGGCTACGTGGAGGAGCTCGGCGAAGGCGCCGGTGATCATTTCGGCCTGAAAGTCGGCGATCGCATCATTCCCGAGAACCTACTGCCGTGTCGCAAGTGCCGCTTCTGCGTGCGAGGACAGTACAACATGTGCGAGCCGCACGACATCTACGGCTTCCAAGTGGACGGCGCCTTTGCGAGGTACGGATTACCGTGCTGTGTACGTACCGGAAAAGGGGGGGGGGGAGCACAGTACGGCAGTACGACGGCTCGGGTGATCAGTAGGGTACGACTACGGTAGGCGGGTGAGTACAGTACGGCAGTACTGTAGGGGACAGTATGGTACGAGTACGGTACGGCGATGTTACGTGGGGGTGGGGGCTCAATAGGCACCGTCACCGTACTGGGTACGGTCCGGCTTATGGTACGGAGCAAGTCATCGGTATGGTACGAGGCTACGGAAGGCGTGTCAGCACGAAACGGAGTATGGCACAATGGTCGTAGAGGTCGGTACAGTACGACTAAGGTACTGGTTAAAGGGGCCAGTAAGGTACAGGGTACGAGACGCGTGTCAGCATGGTACAGGGGACAGTACAGCACGACTTTCGATACGTCTTACGGATGCCAATCTTTAGGTACATGCTCGTTCCGGAGCGCTCCAACGTATACAAGGTTCCGGAAAGCCTCTCGCTGGAGGACGCCGCCATCATCGAGCCGCTGTCCGGAGCGATTCATGCGGTGAACCGTGCCGAGATTCAGCTCGACGACGTCGTGGTGATCGCGGGCGCTGGTCCGCTGGGACTCCTGATGTGCCAGGTATGCTCAGCAATCCTGGTCCAGAACAGTGCACACTGTACCTGACAAGCGTTTCGCCTCCAACACCCGGGATTGTACCAGGCTTTTGCTTCCGTTGATCTGCTTAGACCTCCAGGTTTATTTATAAATCATAATTACCGGGCTTCTTAGGTGGCCCATCTGAAGACGCCCAAGAAGCTCATTGTCATCGATCTCGTCGACCAGAAGCTCGAGCTGGCTAAGAAGTACGGAGCGGACACTGTCCTCAATCCGAGTAAGCAAGACGTCGTGAAGACCGTTAAGGAGCTGACCGATGGCTACGGATGCGACGTCTACCTCGAAGTCACAGGCGCCGTGGAGGGAGCTACTCAAGTAAAGTGCTTGTTTGAGAGACCTCTTAAAAACTGTAGGCGGCACCCGTACGGAATTAGGGCTACGGTACGGCTTCAATTTTCCGAGGTATAGTGCCGATACGCTCCGTACCGTACCGTATTACGTCCCGTACCGATCTCCGTACCGCACCGGGACGGCGCGCTGTACGCTACGATCTTGACAGAAAACGTCTTTTCTAGGGCCTCGCGATGATTCGTCGCCTGGGTCGCTTCGTGGAATTCTCGGTCTTTGGACACGACGTGAGCACTGACTGGTCTACGATTGGCGACCGCAAAGAGCTCGACATTCGCGGCTCTCATGCGGGACCCTACTGCTATCCGATAGCGATCGACCTGCTTGAGCGAGGAC